TTTTGACCTTCGTATTTATCTATCATATCGATGTTTTCGATTGTGAATGGTTCAGGTTATGTATGGCGAAATTCTACACTTACTTGCGTAGAAAAAAAAGAATAAACAGTTTCAATTGACCGTCAACCACATAATTAGTGGACGAAAAATGTTTCTATTTAAGCGATGCTACTGATATTCAGCAATAGTGATATGTACTATGTAAAAGCTACAAGGAACAATGTGCTGTTATTTTCCTGTTATTGCAGACATTGAATTCAACATAACCCTAACATTTTTAAAAACGGAACTCTGTCAAAATGTTTGATTTTAACGAGAGAATTTATATTTCTCGTTGTTAGTCGACCTATGGTTTACACAGTCATATCTGAAATAGAATTTGATATATATTTGCATCGGTTCAAGTTACCACACAACATTAACAGTGATATACAAACATCATGATACATCTCAGATTTTTAGAAGTATCAGTAGTAGTAGGAAAGATTAGGTAGTAAAGGAAAAAATCAAATCGAGACTCGAAGATTCACGATCTAAAGGAATGAATGCATCTGTGCCATTGGAAACTATTTTGAGGTGTATCACTCAGTCTCTAACGATTAGTTATGATGATCACATGGACTATAACCAGACAGTCTAGACCTGTTATTATGGCTCAGTCCAATTGTCAATGACCTCGTCGGCTGGTAGCGCGTCTTAATTTGGCCGCCCCTTTCTTCTACTTTACTCCTACGCGAGATAACGTTCATCAAGGTAGGCGGTGGTTGAACATACACAATACATGTCCCAACCACTTCAGATGGTGGAAAATCACTATCTCATCAGCCAGTTCCCCAGTTATACTTAGTGCTCTGTCCCTAACCTCAACATTGCTCACTTAGTGATCCTAAAACGTGCGGGTAATGCTTTGTAGGTATTCACGATTGACCTACAAATATACACTATTCCTAGTGGTCATACTTCAAATCCATAAAGTAGAATAAAACTTATGCATAGTAAATCCATCGTTTGATTGGTGGACAGCCATCTCATCTACGTCACTATACATATATAATCGAATTCGGACACCACCGAATAACAAAATACTCATAGAATATACTTTTTTTTCTCATTGTATAAAAAAATTCAAATTTTGCTGTCTTTTTCCTCTTCCAATAGTTGAAATCATGAGTCGATTGAAGCTAGACCACCATGGAACACCTGGACGGTCGTTTCGTCCTAGCATGGGGCTCCTCGGCAGTGCGCACCCACGATCCCGCTCCCCGCGAGATTCGAACCCAAGACCTATCAGTCTCGCGCTTAACCACTGGACCACTGAGCCGGCATTCAACGGTGTTAATGTCTAACTTCAACTAATCTACGAAATTGCGCCACCGTATACCACTGTCTTCAGTGAGCTGATATCTCACAACAGATCTGGTTCTGGGTTCGAATCTCGTGGAGGCGGGGTCGTGGATGCGCACTACTGAGTTCCATATTAGGACGAAACGGCCGTCCAGTGCTTCCAGGTTTTCCATGGTTATCTAACTTCAATTAACTCATGATTTCAATTATTGAAAATTAATAAAATCTCCACAAAACCCCTTCTGATAATTATTCCTCTTTGTTTAAATCAATTTTAGACTAACAAATCAATGGTCTATTCCTAAAGAACGTGTACATGTCTTCAAAGGATGAAAATAAAAGGCGTTGTATTATCATAGTAATAGTTCACATACACATACAAACTATGTAGTTTATAACAAATCCAATAACTTTCTAATGAATTCCTTTACTCTAGTCTCTTATTTTTTTTTAATTTTTCAAACCATTTTATGGTATATTCCTATTTCGTTTACTCTCAATGACAATATGTATATTATTTTGAATTGTGAAATTGTATCTCACATAGTAACTAATCTATGTCACCATGATGATGTACTCATATTTTGGGCGAATGTGTCATATGTATATATCAATAAATAAATATGTAGACATATTTAGTCAAGTGATTTCCATTTGTTTATCTTCTTTTTTTGCTCATTCTTTCATAACATATTCCTCATTAACAGATGTATTACTACTGGGATATTAATAATTTTGTAAACACAATCTTGAACTATTCATTACCTAAATAACTATAGTTGTATCATGAACGAGAACATAGACGAGAATCATATAGTAAATGCTTCATTTGTAAAATATTCATCAATTGTTTCATACTTGTTATTTTCTTCTCTTTAATCTTTTCAACATTCCACTCTCGATTAGTGACATATACTACTTATATCTATCGACATCAGTAGCACATATCACAGTTGTGGCTTGTTATTATTGTGGATTTAGATGATTTTTTTTCAGCTCAAGCAAGACGGAAAGAAAAACGTCGTGAATCTCACTCTTCTACATTATTCTCAATGATTCTATTTGTTTTCAAATGATTGATGGATAGAATCTCGTTTTTGTGTTGATCTCTTAATGATTTCTTTCGGTTTGTATTGTACACACACAAAAATAAACAAAGAAAAGTATTTCCCACTAGGTGTATTAATTTCTTTCTATTGAAGCTTTTGATCGCACTAATAATTAATGCGTAGAATTCTGGTGATCAAAAAGCACAAGACTATCTGTAAATATAGTGCTGTTATCACTAAGATCTATGAAATGTATTACAAATATCAATTCGTAACTCATCCATAGGAACTATCGTGTTCGCACAATTAAAGAGGGATACTTCCAAAAATGGACATATATATATATAGCTTCTTTACAACGAAATATAATAAGCAATTGGCAGTTCATAACCGTGTCAAAACTAAAATTGTTATCATTTCTTTTATTACGATTCAGCTATTCCTATTGCTTAGTATTCTTGGACAATATTTCACTCGACAAGTACCCAAATCAGAACACGGTTGTTGAACACGAACGAAATTATATTCTAAATAACAAGGTTAGATGGAAGTAGGAAGCATAATGAGAAAAATGTTAGTATATTTATAGTTTTTACGTGAGAAGATTCTAGAGTCTTCTCTAAGTACTCACTAGCGCTGATTGGATAAGTAGTGTTAGGTCCCGATAAACATAATGAATGGTAACTTTCGGGATCCATTTATGGACCGGTACTATGTGTATATTTTTATTGTATAACTGTTAAGTGACTAAACTGTTCATATTCATGTCTCTTTTATCATGAGCTTTATTCTGACCCATAAACTATTATTATACGATTAACCATTCTTGAATTATGCCCTGTCTATTAATTACTACCTCCCACATTCACAGCCACTTTTTGGCTAAATCTTGTACAAATTTTGTTTCCTATTTTATGGTACGATGTGGTTTGTTTGGTTGGTATATAAACTCAGTATGTTTGAAATATAATGATTCATATCGCAGAGGCTCGGATTGGTGTTCTGGACTTAATTGGCTGGGCGGTTTTGGGCTATAACAAGTCGCCAATCACAGTGCACCAACGTAATCTTGCACGGAACATGCTTAAGCCCAATCTATATTCTGCTAACAATAGTAGACATTATTGAAATAAGAACTGTTAGAATACAATTGATGCTTAACGGATACAGTAGAGTTAAAAATAGCTGTTCCAAATAGTAAAAAAATGCAGTTGCATTAATAAGTAGATTGAATGCAATCAGTTTATCTAATTATTTGCACAATTACGGACAGATATTATAACTTAAACACTTAAGCCATTAGAATTGAGATTGACTACTGGATATATATAGGAGCAAAGGGGTCAGGATTGATTGTCATGTATTAGAATTGCATGAACGAAGAAATGCTAGCTTGGTTGTTTTCAAATTGCAGTCATTATTAACGGTACACAAATACCTGATACGGCCAAGGGTGGAAAGAACCATCTTTCCCTCTCGAAGTACTGTCATACAACCATGCGTTTATAGCCCTTGATAAGGGAGTCCTACTAATGCGGCGGATATGATGTTTGAGATTTCAAGAGGACGAAGAGCGAAAGTCCGGGATTCACACTGGGCTGACAAATACGAAGGACCCATGGTGTACACGAGCTCCAGAATGCTGGGGGAATTTTGCTTAAATGCCCTAAGGATTAAACCTCCAGATCAAAGGCTCGGAGAGTGGCTCTCTAAGGAAGTAGATTATTTCGGTTTGAACGCCTAGGAAGTATCCCAGCCCACAAGAGTTTTATGTTACGCATACTTTTTTCGGTGTCCAGCCGTGCCAGATTTTGCGCGTTTTAAGTAGAAATACATAATCAACAAGTAAAAAGTTACATCGTCTAGTTCACAGATTAAAATTATGTTCAGATAATAATGTCTTTTCTTCCTCTCTCTCTTTATTTATCACATCACTAACCTTGTAGTGAACAGAACACAGGTGGGGACAAACGAAAGTGCCTGACAGAGAATTACATGACTTGTTAATAGAATCAAATAGTAAATGCTTAATTTACAAAATGTTCACCAATTGTCTTAAAATGACTCAGACTTCATTGTTCTTGCATCTTCATACAAATTGCATTCTGTTTCCATTCTTTACTATTCGATCCTCTTGTCTCTCTGCTGCCAGACATTCTGTTCACGACTACGACCATCTACTACTTATGTCAATATAAGTAGCACACACCACAACCTGTATTTAAATATGCTCGCTAATAAGTCTTATCTATAACTTAAAAACTTTGTCCAACATTTATTAAAACCGATAATCGTAGTCACCACAAATCAATATCTGAGGACCAATGCAAGTTTCGACAGAAAAGTTAAGTATCAGATTACACCTCAATGATTTATATAGTTGAGCACTCCTGTAACGAGATATCTAGAATAGCCAAGAGAAAAGCTATTCCCTATCCCACTGAAAGTGTGGTAATTCAATTGACTTTTAAAATAAAAAAGTCTCGTCATCTAACCAAGTATAAAATGGAAAAAAGCAGTCAATTAATCTAAAATTTATCCTAATTGTTTTTGTGAGGGTGAGGGAGATAAGTAAAAAAATGATTATGATTATTACTATACAAATGATCATGTACTGGTTTTATTCACAGCAGTATTAGTAGTAGAAGTATGTGTCACGTTGCTATGTGTCGCCAATTGATCAGCTTTTAATAGGAAATCTTTTGCTTTCAATTCATCCATTTCAACACCATCACCATTGGAATACATTTTTGCAATATTACGACAACAGAATTCATGACCCAATTTACAACCTTCCATCCATGCTTTGAATGCTTCAACACGTAGACGACTACTATCGTTACTACCAGTAGGATTAGGAGATTTTTCTGAATTAGTTGATTTGTCATTTTCTTTAGCTAATACCATTGCTGCACCACCAAGATGAAAACAACTCTCTGGCACTCTATTTTGGCAACCTAATTCGAATAGTGACATTGCAACAGATAAATTTGGTGCATGGCTAGCTATACCATCAGCAACTAGACGTCCAGCAGCCTGTGTCATAAAAAGTGCATAGAAGTCAGAAATTTGTGTTACAGGAAGTGAATTTATCAAAACTACGGGAACCATTAAAGACTGATGGAGTCAAAGTAATAAAATGTTTGTTTAGAAAAATGCTGGAAAAGATTTGCAGCTCAGATAGATGCTTTTACCAATATTGTAGTAGCTAATACTACACCAAGCCCACATTGGTTATTTTAACTTAGGGACAGATCAATTTATTCATTCTTTTCAAGCTAGATTTCAACTTTATCACCTATTCCCTCATTAACCCTAATTATTTTCATATGAACGTATGTGTATTAATTTTTTTATCCTATTCATTACGTGTCTGTAACTTATTATTGGCCTGACTATAAATATTGAGTCACGCTTGATTAAATCAAGTTAGCTCACTCACCTTCTCGATTGCACATCATTTCGTCTTGTTTAGTTTGCTGAGGAGAGTTCACTCTCCTTCTCGAAATGCTCTCACATAGCCACATGCATACAGCCACTGCCAAGGAAGTCTTAATGCCTTCTTGAGACGGGGACGTAGTTTACGAAACTAAGGACGAAAAGCGAATGTCCGGCGCTTTAACCGGGTTGGTGGATACAGAGGACCCACCTAGGAGAGTCGGAAAATCCTGATCCCAAACTAGTGATGAACATGGGCTCCAGGATCCTGAGGAAACAAGTGGCGTATAAACCTTTTGTAGATCATCGGCTCCCATGGAACTGAATCTCCTGACGTTGCTTCACTGCCTTATTGATTAGGCCTTAAGGTCAAGGGGGTGGTTCCCCAAGGAAACCACCTGCATCGGTCTGAGTAACTAGGCAGTTTCTCAACCCCCACAGAAATCGAATGATTTGTGTGTTGTATATATATTCGATGCTTCCTTGCACCAATATTGGTGTTTAAATAAACTAAAATATCTATCCACAATTCATCTGCAATAAGAGAGGCAGTTATCATGTCAAGTGACTAAGCCTGGAGCCATTAACAAAATGTCAAATTTAAAACTATCAAAGATCACATACGCCAGTCAGACGTTTATTGTGATGAACTTTTTCCTGCTACTGAATTACAAAAATCATTAAAGGAGCAAAGAATATATAACTCCCGTTTATTTTATCGAGGAAAAGGAATTCGGGACTGATGAATAACAAATAGTCTAAATATGATTTATGTCGTGCTCGTTGGATAAATCGAAATCCGTATGTATATTTATATAAAGGGGGGTATTAAGTGCAAGGTTGTCATTAACGGCTATAGCGAAACTAAAAAATATGCAATGGTTCTGTACACAACAACCAAAACTACGTTTGTGTACTAAGCTAATAGCTCCCGACTATGATTTCAATAACAATGAACGAGAGGGAAGATCGCTTAGGGTATAAGACTCGTGCATAAATATATTTAGTAAGTAGTAGTCAGTGAGTCGCACGCAATGTAGAAACTGGCACATATGTATATCAGTTCAAGCTGCTACAACCCATTGATACAGAGATGAAATTGTAAGGCCAAATCCCATAGTACAAGTAGTAATAGTACCAGCGGAAATGGGAGAGATTAAACATCAAAGACACGATTCAAAAAATATATAAGTGTAATAGAAAAATTATAAGGAATTTGGAAGCTTCGAATCCTGGGAAAGACAAAACCAGTTACCAAATCAGAAATTTAATCATAACTCAAGCGACAAGATCATGACTATCTATAAAGTGAAATATAAACATCTTGACAATCCATAACAACTAAGAAATAAGAACTCAAGATTGCCGCCCCATTGTTGTCGGATAATGTAGCGAGATAACTTTGTCTTTGAGGACAGTGTTCTGTCATCTGAATGATAATACATGTTAAACAGAGAAATATTAAGTATTTGGCTTTAAAAACTCATAGACAAAACTTTTGACATACTTGGCAACATTTCCCTTGTTTCCCTGCCTTACAACCATGTTCGAATGCACGGAAAGCCTCAAACGAATCTCTCAATACGCCTTTATCGCCAACGACTTTTAATGACCCGTATTGATAGCAACTGTCTCCATAATTACGCTTGAAACAGTTTTCTTTGAGAATGTCTGCACCGTTGGCAACTAGCCTTTTATAATTACTGGACCATAGTGCCCATGAATGACAACCTTTATGAAAACTTTAGAAAGTTGGACACAACCTACTCACTGACGGGATTGTTTTCACGTATACAACTATATTCAAAACCCAATCCGAGATTTTTCATGTATTCATGCATTTCCTCAGGCGTCTTGAAGCTTAGAATTCCGGAATCAGTCATTTCTAAGCAATAGAAAAATATACAATAATTAGCAAACATTGGTGACGACTGTTCTCCAAGGATCATTATAAATTAAAACCAGAGTTATGAATTAGGATCACAACATAAGTGTACAGTAAAACTGCAATACCATTCAAAACAATCAGTGACCTACTAAACCCTTTAATATGGTCAATGAGCATAAAGACTGAGCTAAATATTGCGTAAAATATCAGGAAAGTAAAGGTTTGGGCGAAACTCCACCCCATCTTTTACCGAATCTTCCACGGATGTATTGAATTTTATCTGATGAAATCTTGTGGACAGAAAAATACCATACCATTAAAATATACTGGCGAACACAAAACAAACCCCACCAGTACTCGATTGGTTGTAAATTGCGCGTTGGTACGATGTTCAAACCGCAAACGTTGCTTCTGCGCGATAGGGCTAAATGGTTCTAATGGTTAAGGATGGAATATAATTCCGTATATAGTAGCACTAGATCACCAATACAATCAGACAGGAACCTAGGTATAGTATCGATAATAGAGGAAAAAGAAGTTGGTAAATCATTAAATTATACTATACTTAGTTCTTAAAAGTACGTCAAGTTTCGCAGCCACTAGGTCCTAATGGCCCAACCAATAACGACGGTGACGCCGCTAACCTTCTGGCTGCACAGTATTCTTGAACATTTCAGCCGACCCACATTGATTATATTGATGAAAGCTTCATCTAGAACAGTTTAGTGGCCCGTGATCTGACTCCATTTAGAGTGTACGAATGTTTGCTATCACCTTTTCTCGTATATAATAGTCGACTTAAATCGCGTTAGTCCATAACGGAATTAAATAAGTCGATTAACGAGAATGACCTTTGAATACATATATTTTGTATGTAAAGTGAATGCGATAGAACAAAACGAAATGACACGCAGGGAAGATGGCTGGGAAGCCAACTCCATTTTAGTCAAGCGTTACTCATTATTTATAGTCAGACAAAATAAAGCTACAGACATGTGATTAATAGGATAAGAAGGGCACACACATATACGCTCATATAAAAACAGTCTAGCTTGATTAGCGAATAAATAACAAGGTCAAAGTATGGGTCGAGTAGAATGAATAAAATGGGATGTCCGGAAGCTAGAATAAGGTATATGGGCTTGGCATTGTAGTGTTAGTCATTCGTTTTAGCCCATAGTATATCTTATTCTAGTTTCCGGACATTCCATTCTACTCATTCTACTTGAGTCATGTTTTGACCTTGTTAATTATTCGCTTGTTAGCCTTGACTGTATTCATGTGAGCGTATATGTATGTACACTTGATGTCCCATGACTCATCACATGTCTGTAGTTCATTTTGTCTGCCTATAAATATTGAGTAATGTTCGGCTTGAATTGGAGTTGGCTTCCCAGCCATCCTCCCTGTGCGTCATTTTTGCTTGGCTCTGTTTCATTCACTTCATATACAAAATATATGTATTCAAATGCCATTCTCGTTAATTGACTTATTTAATTCCGTTATGGACTAACGCGATCTAAGTCGACGATGATAAACGAGAATCAGCGATAGCAAACATTTATACGATCTTGGACTCAGATCAAACAATCACTACATTGGTAAGCCCGCCGACGACGAACGCAACGCAGCAAGCTACGTCGATGAAGGAACTTCTGCACTCTATACGTTCGACGAACAAATTCAGTGAAGCCAGCGCAATCTCCAATCCGACGCAATCAGCACAGCCTGTGCAACATGACACGGACATGCTCAAGTCGTATTATCTTATCGATACTTTGTCCTCATGTCAATTATCCTCATTGATCCATTCGTCGGTTTGTTCCATTACGATTCAAATTATCATTGTATGCTTATTATTACATTATTGCCAATATCATGATCGAATGTGGAATTATTAATCTTGTTCGTGCTGTCATTAAATCATGACATTTTCGCAATCATATTACTCACCGAACAAATTATCATTTTATGAAAATTCCACTTAACTTTGTGAGAACTTATTGGGATATTTTTACTATTCGAAAACGTGAAATTTTCCTGCTTTAAGTGAGTTCGTTCCAATTTTTCATGTCATTTTGAACCAATATTGCATTCATTCACTTAGTCGAGGTCAGCAATTTATATTATCACAACATACATTTTTCATTTCGAAATCGCCTCCTATTATGTCTGTGGATGCTTCTGACTAGATGACTAGTAACCATTACGTTCATTTTATCTATTCTTCCACGTGCATAACTACATGCTGCATCATTTATCACTCAAAAACGCTATTCGAGTACTGCAACTACTATTCTATACCCATCGCATAGTATATCAGAACATAGAGTTTAGAGCTAGTCTCTCAAAGATACACTCTTGTTCGTCACATCCAAGTCAATCTCATACGTCGCTATCGCTAATCATATGTATTGGTATTTCTGTCATGCCTTGGTACGGTTTTGTAACAAACGAGATCGAGCGCATCTCCCTCAAACCACACAAACCACTCTAGGCTTCATGACCAAAATGGAATTCGACTCTACGTACCTCGTCTACTCAGTCACTATTCTGTTCCTCTGGTCATTCTACTAATACATATTTAACGATAACTCAATGCATCTGTCATAACGCAGACGACAACGTTCACTGACTTCAGATTTTATGATTATTATCAATTGCAGTACAGCAACGAATATCACCCGTCGATGCAGTTATCATTTCACGACTTGCCTATTATCATCCTACGAACGGGAACTACGCATTTGAATTCGAATTCACTCATCACTAGTCGATGCTATTTATTCTACTGCGGCTCAACAGAACATATATTTCGCATATTTCACTATTCTGTCGGCATCACAGACCAATTTCTGTCATATTCTACTTTACTTATTTTCACGATTTATTTCGCTATCATACTCACAAACAATTTATTATTATTTTCACGATATTTTGAATGGCTCATACAAACGTGTTATTTTATTGTTCAGACAGTCATAGCATTAGTACATGTTAATTTTTTGTACGCTCATCAATTTGCTCATATTCGCATGCTAACGTTTCCTTTTTTGTCCGCGTCTTTTCTATATTCATGTATTCTTTTGCATAAGTATGAAATTTTCATATAATACGCTCACCCCTCATGTGACACTGTACTTTATCGAGTGTTGTACAATTTTTTTGGCTACTTATTGTTAACATTAAATACGCATCACTTCACTGTTATTTTCGAAAACAGACATTTTTTAAATGTGCTATTTTCTACGAGGGGGCTATGTAGTGTTAGTCATTCGTTTTAGCCCATAGTATATCTTATTCTAGTTTCCGGACATTCCATTCTACTCATTCTACTTGAGTCATGTTTTGACCTTGTTAATTATTCGCTTGTTAGCCTTGACTGTATTCATGTGAGCGTATATGTATGTACACTTGATGTCCCATGACTCATCACATGTCTGTAGTTCATTTTGTCTGCCTATAAATATTGAGTAATGTTCGGCTTGAATTGGAGTTGGCTTCCCAGCCATCCTCCCTGTGCGTCATTTTTGCTTGGCTCTGTTTCATTCACTTCATATACAAAATATATGTATTCAAATGCCATTCTCGTTAATTGACTTATTTAATTCCGTTATGGACTAACGCGATCTAAGTCGACGATGATAAACGAGAATCAGCGATAGCAAACATTTATACGATCTTGGACTCAGATCAAACGGTCACTACAGCATAATAACTGACACTACATAGCCCTCTCGTAGAAAATAGCACATTTAAAAAATGTCTGTTTTCGAAAATAACAGTGAAGTGGTGCGTAGTTAACGTTAACTGTAAGTAGCAAAAAAAATTGTACAACACTCGATAAAGTACAGTGTCACATGAGGGGTGAGCGTATTATATGAAAATTTCATACTTATGTAAAAGAATACATGAATATAGAAAAGGCGCGGACAAAAATGGAAACGTTAACGTGCGAATATAAGCAAATTAATGAGCGTACAAAAATGTGTGTTCTACCCGTTTCCAGCAATTCTTTCTGATTTCTGTTTCCGAAGGAATCTGGGTCGTTTTCATACACAGTAGGTTCTTGTTGATAGTGTCCGGCCAACGGATCCGAAGTATTCTGCATAGATAACTGTTAATAAACACCTGTATCTTCTGGGTGTTGGCTTTCGTAGTTCTCCAGGTTTTCACTCCATACAGTAGAATTGTTTTGACATTTGTATTGAAAATTCCATGGTGTTAATTGACATTTGTTTTGAGTTCCAGATGTTCTTCAGTTGTAGATATGCTACTCTTGCTTTTCCAACCAGCGCCTTCACATCTACATCAGATCCACCATGTTCATCAATGATGCTGCCCAAATATCTGAAGGCTTTTACATCTTCCAAATCTTCTCTGTCAATTGTGATTCCGTTGGTGCATGCTGTGTTGTATTGTAGAATCTTGCCTTTCACTTTGTGTATGTTGAGACCTACTGCTGCTTAGTCTGTTGCTTCACTGGTCTTCTTCTACTACATTTGTTGTTGCGTGTGCGACAGAAGAGCCAGATCATCTGCGAAGGTCGTCCAGCTGCATCTCAGCCGTCCACTGTATTCAATGCTTCTCCCCCGCCCCCAGCTGTTGCCGTCTTCATGATGCAGTCGATCACCAGGAGAAAGAGAAAGGGTGAGAGTAAGCAACCTTGCCTGACGCCGGTCTATACTTCGAACGAGTCTGTGACCTGTCCTCCATGCACGATTTTGCAGTTTAATCCATCATAGGAATTCCGTATGATATTGACTATCTTCTGAGGCACGCCGTAGTGTCGAAGAAGCTTCCATAGTGTTGTCCTATTCACGCTATCAAATGCTTTTCCGTAGTCAATGAAGTCAATGTAGAGTGATGAATGCCATTCGATTGATTGTTCCACAATGAGCTGTAGTGTTGTGATCCGGTCTATACACGATCGATCCTTACGGAATCCAGCCCGTTGGTCCAGATGTTCGACGTCTACCGAGTCCTTCATTCTGTTTAACAATACCCTGTTGAAAACTTTTCCCGGTATTGAGAGAAGAGCGATGCCCCTATAGTTGTCAC